GGCCCCGAGCGAGGGGAAGGAAGGGGGCGGGGCGCCGCCGGTCGCGACGCTGCCCAAGGGCGCCTCTGGGCATGCGCGGCCGCCCGCCGCAGCCCTCCTCGGCCGCCCCACTACAACGACCGTCATCCCGCGCGCCGCGGTCACATGACTGCTCCCCGGGGCCCGGCAAGATGGCTGCCTACCTGCAGTGGCGGCGCTTCGCCTTCTTCGACCGGGAGACGGTGAAGGAGCGCGCGGGGCTCGATGGCAGCGGCGGCAACGTCCTGCTCCTGCCGCCGGGGATCGCGGTCTGCGACTCGGGCCGGGGCAGTCTGGTCTTCGGGGATATCCTTGGGGCGGCGCTGCGGTGGCTGAGAGAAGGGCCGGGTCGGAAGGTGGTGCTCTAGGAAGGCTGCGGCGGCGCCTGCGGGGCAGCCCGACCGCGCTTGGACGCGGGGCTTCGGACGGGCGGGCTCGCCTTCCAAGGCGGCTTAGAGTGCCGGGCTAGGGAGACTCGCACTCCCAACTCACGAAGCTCGCACGGTGGCGGGGGGGACCTTGGTCTCTAGCCACGCTCTGTTAAAGCAGCCTACTGTGCAGGGCTGATGTGATGGCCCCGTTGAGTGGGGAAGGGGACACATGTTTGCTGCCCTGGGATGGTGGGAGAGAGGGAAGGGTAGGCATGGGGTGGGGGCTGCTTCTTGACAGCTGCTTCTCTGTAATCCCGAGAGGCCCTTAACGGAAACCCACATATGGAAGGCCAGATATGGTTCCTGCCGCGCTCCCTGGAACTCAGCAGCTTTCAAGCTTATAAACTGAGAGTGACTCACCTGTATCAGTTGAAGCAGCACAGTATCCTGGTTTCTGTTGGGGAGGATGAAGAAGGCATTAATCCTTTGGTAAGTTGGGCAGTGCAGGGAGTCTCTTCCTGATTGAACAGATGCTTTAGTGATCCTTGCTGTTGTGGGGGAGGAGCCTAGCTGCAAACAACAGTGCAAGTATGGTGGTGGTGTGGCTGGAGTTGGATGTGAGACCCACTTCTGTCATTGAATTTGCAGGATATCTTTGGGTCAGTCACACATGCTCGGTTTAACCTACCTCACGGGTTATTCTAGGGGTAAAAGGCAGATGCCATCCTGAGGTTTTTGGAGGAAGGATTGGGTAAAAGTGAACTCAGTGGGTAGGTAAACTTCATTCTGCTGTTCTATCAGGAGGAGCAAAGAACTTTTTTTTGACAGCAGCAGTTAGCTTTTAGTGCAACAGAATTACTCTAGAGGAGCGCGCTTTCCCTAAATAAGTCTCCTTGTGATGATATGCAGGTCAAAGTCTGGAATCTAGAGAAACGTGATGGTGGGAATCCTCTGTGTACTAGGATATTCCCTGCAATACCAGGCAACAAGCCCACAGTTGTGTCCTGTCTCACAGTCCATGAGAATCTGAACTTCATGGCTATCGGTAAGTGGAAGCAAGGCCAGTGCTGCTGCTGCTGGATATGCAAGCAGAACGGAAAGATATGGTAATCAGCTTTAGAACAGTGCTTCAGCTTTCCATGTTGATGCAATTGAACTTTTAGTCTGTTTTCTACTAGTAGAGAGCACCAGATGTTCTAGGGTTGCCATGAGAATTCGGTACCCCTTTGCTTCCTTTGGTTTCACAGATGGGAGTGTTGTGCTTACAAAGGGTGACATAACACGAGATCGGCACAGTAAGACTCAGACCCTCCATGAAGGTAGCTATCCAGTTACTGGCCTTGCCTTCCGCCAGTCTGGCAAAACAACTCATCTGTTTGTTGCTACCACTGAGAGCATCCAGGTACACTGTTGGGGGTGACTGGGAGAGGGATCAAGACGGAACAGCCTGGCCCAACCACTATCCCAGCTAGTGAGTTTCATCATTGCCTTTGTCTGGTTGACTTTCCAGTGCTACACGCTTTCTGTGAAGGATTATCCGCGGCAAGAATTGGATACCCGCGGCTGTGGGCTGCGCTGCTCTACACTGAGTGACCCCTCCCAGGACCTCCAGTTTATCGTAGCAGGGGATGAGTGTGTGTATCTTTATCAGCCTGATGAGCGTGGGCCATGTTTTGCTTTTGAGGGGCAGAAGCTTATTGCCCACTGGTATCGGGGCTATCTTGTCATTGTGTCCAAGGACCGGAAGACCTCTCCAAAGTAAGGACACACTTGTTTGTTTGGGATTTGTTCTACTGTGTGTTTCTGGATTGGGATGGAGAGGGGCCTTCTAATTGTCATTCGGTTCTCATTGAGTGCAGAACTAAGCAGAAAGCAGTAAAAACTGGTGGGGAATTTTTTTTTGGCTTTCTGCCACTTGTGCAAAAACAGCAGTGCTACGTCTCCTGTGTGTGCTGGATGGATTCTACACCAGTGATCCCAAGAAGATGGCTATTGATATGGGGCCTGCCCCAGCATAACTTTCTCGTGTGGTGTCCTGTTGACGGTCATTGGGCAAGCTGGTGTCCCAAAAGCATCTGCAGGGAGGCATTGTAAATAGTAAATATTTGGAGACAAAATGGTAACATTTAGCCTCTTGCTCAGGGTAAAAGAGGAGAGCGCAAAAGTGGGCTTGAAGCTCAACATCAAAAAAACTAAGATCATGGCATCCGGTCCCATCACTCCTTGGGAAGTAGACGGGGAAGTCGTGGAAGTAGTGACAGACTTCACGTTCCTGGGATCCCAGATCACCGCAGACTGTGACAGCAGCCATGAAATTAAAAGACGTTTGCTCCTTGGGAGGAAAGAGATGGCGAACCTAAACAGCATGATAAAAAGTAGAGACATCACCCTGCCAACAAAAATACACATGGTCCAAGCAATGGTATTCCCAGTAGTCATGTATGGCTGCGAGAGTTGGACTATAAGGAAGGCTGAGCGCCGAAGAATAGATTCTTTTGAACTATGGTGCTGGAGAAGACTCTTGAGAGTCCCTTGGACTGCAAGAAGGTCAAATCAGTCAATCCTAAAAGAAATCAAACCTGACTGTTCCCTGGAAGGCCAGATAATGAAATTGATGCTCAAATACTTTGGCCACCAAATGAGAAGGGAGCACTCACTGGAGAAGACCCTGATGCTGGGAAAGATTGAAGGTCAAAGAAGACGGAGACGGCAAAGGATGAGATGGTTAGACAGTGTCATAGATGCAACAAACATGAAATTCAGCAAACTTCAGAGGACGGCGGAAGACCGGAAGGCCTGGCGGGAGCTGGTCCATGGGGTCGCGAAGAGTCGGACTCGACTGTGCGACTGAACAACAACAACAACAACTATTTTTGGGGGGCCCTTGAAAAAAAAACCCTTCAAACTCTTATGAATTTCCCCCCTTTTGGAGTGAGTGAAATGCTTTGAAGGACGGGGTGTCACTCAAAATGTTTAGTAGGAACATTTTTATATAAGACAAGCTGAAGGAATGGATTATGATGATTCTTATGTGTACTGTAAGCATTTGCAACATTTTAAAGAATACACTGAAATTTCAACAATTTTGACAACAATCAATATGCTATGTGTTTAATAATGTACTATTAATGCATTAATGTCCTATGTAATGTAATAACATAGTATTAGAAAACTGAATATTTTCAGTGTTAAAAAGTTTAATAAGATTCCAGCATGGTAGTCCTACCTATTGTGATGGTATTAGAGAGTTTCTGTCGAAATATTATTCAAGAGGGCTTTTCTTTGTAGGCAATAGAGTTGCACTCTGCTCAAGGTTTTATTTTTTATCTCTGATATTCAGGGATATTTTATCTCTGAAAATGGGGTCTCTACTGCTGGTCATTAAGACTAGGAGTGCCTGATAAATGAAATAGAATTTACATGTTTCAGTAATAGTAACAATCATACAACTTATAAGGGCAACTTGCCATCACAACATGCAGTAGCAATGAGATCTGTAAATCAAGACACTGAAGGCAAGAAGGCACAACTAGGCACAGCACAGGTGGTGGATGTAAGGGGTGGGGATTATGCAGGGAGTAACAACTTGTGGGAGTGGGGAACTGCTAGGTTAGATGTGAAATCTCTGTCTATGGAGTGTCTAGATTTCCCATCTGTGAGCAGAAGGCTGCTGCATTTGCCTGGAAATTGTGAGGTTAGTAGACCTGAGAATTACTCAGGTGATGCGTATGGACAGTTGTTCCCTCACTTCCATGCCGTGGGAGTGCATGAAATGTGGTCGGGGGGGGGGGGGGGTGGGGGAGAGAAATCCAGGGAGACTCTCCCTCGCTCTTGTTCGTCTGTGTTTCCAGGTCTGACTTTGCTGGTGGTGACCCACAAAACTCTGACAAGCAAATCCTGAACGTTTATGACCTCAGCAACAAGTTCATCGCTTACAGCTCCGTCTTTGACGATGTGGTGGACGTCCTGGCCGAGTGGGGATGCCTGTATGTGCTGACTAGAGATGGAAAGCTCCATGCGTTGCAGGAGAAGGATACGCAGACCAAGTTGGAGGCAAGGGGGCTTGTGGCAAATGTCTCTCTGAGGCTGGTGGGGGTCTGGGCCAAGGCCTTGCTGCTTCTGGCAGGAGCTGTGGGTCAGGACCTCCATTCAGAGGCCTGGCACCCAGCTCCCCACCAGGAGTCATAAAGCCGTTTGGCTTCTGTCTCTGGCAAGCCATCTGAATCAACAGTTTCTT